TATAATACTCCATAACTCTGTCAAATTATTGTTTGTCTTTTATCTTGTTTCTTGTTTGCAATCATATATTTCATTCGTGTCATATTTATTATCTCGATCCGTTTTATTTCTCAACAAATGGTATCAGAGCTATTGGTTGCGATTTGTTTGAGATTTTTGTTATTAGTGACAATCATGAAGTATGAAATCCACACTTGGATACAATACAATATTCTTGTTATGGTAAGTGAAAATGTGAGCTATAATTGCGTAAATAATTTAGATGATGCGTTGTTGGGATTTGACAAAATACCCTCAACTTGGACGACAAAGGGAAAACAACAGAAGGATCAGAAGGCACTTTCACATATCCATCTTCATCTGTTTAACAATATTTTTCAAGACGTTTTGAAAAGGAAAATGGCAGGTGCATTGTGGTTAAAGTTAGAGATATGCATGACTAAAAGTCTAACAAGTAAATTGTATCTGAAGCAGATGTTGTATTCTCATTGCATGGCAGAAAACGAATTTTAGAAAGATGATTTGAATGTGTTCAAGGAGATCGTTATTGATTTGAAAAAATGCATACGTGCCCTATTTTCAAAAGAAAAGATGAAGTATCTAATTAGATATGCGGCCAGAGATGGAAAGGTCTTGTTGTTCATGGTGATCATAGAAGGGGAAGTCGAGGTCAAATTTAAGTAATTACATTTGTTATTGTTACAAGAAGAAATGACATATTAAGAGAAATTGCGACAAATTGCAAAATAAAGGTAATTTGACTGCAAATCATGGGAAACAATCAAATACTTCAGATGACACTAACATAGTCGAGAACAATTTGAGTGATGAAGATGTTTTGACGATTTCTGACTTGGAATTCAAACCTGACAAGGAGTGGAACTTGAATACAGCTTATGTGTTCCATATATGTGCCAATTGAGATTTGTTTGAAACGTATAAAATGGTGACGCAATGTGTCATTATCATGAGTACAAACGAACCTTGTCAGGTAGATGGTATTGGTAGAGTCAGATTGAAACTAGTGGATAGAACATGTAGAACACTTGATCACGTTTGACATATTCTAGGTTTGAAGAAGAATCTCATTTCGTTGAGTACTCTTGATTCAAAATTATACACATCCTTTGGGTGAGGTGGAGTTTTGAGGGTTCGAAAGGGTGTTCGTGTTGTAATAGAGAGGCGGAAGAAGTCCTAGTTATACATTTTGCAAAAATCGGGCAGAATTTGTGAAGAAAAGTGAGCACAGTTTTAGTACCATGGTGGAGATTCAGTTTGGTAAAGTACCTTTGGGATGTGGTTCAAGGTCCATATTGAATAATACTACTAGTCGAGTGAGGAGTCTTAGAGAAGCGTGATTATGATTCATGTTTCCTTGTATAGAATTAGGAAATGACATTCTTTATTTTCTTACCTTTTATAACCTATGTAAGTATTCTATAAATTGGAAGGAAATACATACACAAAATATATTCAACCAAAATTGTGTCATGGTATCAGAGCCCTAAAATTCTTAAACCTATGTCGTAGTCTTGTGCTTATGGTGTCATCCCATGGTCTTGTGTTCTGGGGTTATATAGTCAGCATTGTCGATGGCCGAATCTCACGTTTGCCAGCGCCGTTTGAGTTTTTGATAATAACATCGTCTTCGATTGGTTGCATCTGGTGTCGAGTTTCACAGTTCAAGTGTCTTCGTGATTTGGTTCTTGTCGCTGCAACACGTTCTGACAACGGTAGTTGCCTGGACCTCCAGCATCGTCGTCCCTCCCTTCTGGTCAGAGGAATCTCAATTTGGTTGGACGAATTCCAATTTCTCCCATTCGCCTCGCGTCGACTGTGAGTATCTGCCGGTGTTATTGACTTAGGTGTGGACTGTAGTGGATTTTGGGTTTAAAGTTGGTTGGGCCAAGTTTATTCTAGTTGGGCTTATTGTTATTTGAATTATTTTTTTTGGGCCAAGTTAATTCATATTGAGCTCATTGTAATTGAACTTGAATTTGTTTGGGCTTTAGTTTACGGATTTCATTTATTTTTTGGACTGATTTGTATACAATTTCATCATGTCAATTGACAAAACTGATTTTGTCTGCATTCGCTTTACCGGAAAAAACTAGTCTTCATGGGCATTTCACTTTCAGTTGTTGGTTGAAGGAAAAGGGGATCTGTGAGAACATATTGATGGAAGCATCCATCCTCCTAATCAAGAAAAGGCCAAAGAAAAATAAATTGCTTGGAAAACTAAGGATTCTCGGATTATGGCCTGGATTATCGGATCAGTTGATGAGTAGATTGTCCTTAATCTCAGACCTTACAAGTCATCTCGTGCTATGTGGGAATTCTTGAAGAATCTATACTCAGAATAATAATGCTCGACGACTTCAGTTGGAATTTGAATTGGCGAATTTTTATCAGAATTCTCGTTCCATTGAAGAATATTATTCTGCTTTATCTAATCTCTGAGCTGAGTACACAGATATCATCTATGCTTCAGTTTCACCTGACAATTTGAAGTTGTCCAAGCTGTACACGAGATCACCAAGAGAGATCAATTTCTCATGAAATTACGATTTGAATTTGAATCCATTAGGTCCAGTCTTATGAATCGCGAGACTATTCCGACACTTGATAGTTGTTTGGGTGAACTCCTTAGAGAGGAGTAGCGTCTTTTAACTCGTGCATCTTTGGAGCAACAGCAAAATCATGTAGCACCAGTTCTCGTTGCATATGTGGCTCAAGGAAAACATAGATCTAGGAATATGTCTGGTGTGCAGTACTACAACTGTAAGGGGTTTGGTCACATGGCTCTTCAGTGCCCAAGAAAATTATGCAATTACTGCAAAAAGGATGGATGTGTTATTAAGGAGTGTCCTATTTGTCCTCCTCGCAAGACTGAAATGGGTTTTGTTGCTGCTGCCACAGTAGCCTCTAGGTCTGCTACGCCAACTCCCCCTACTCTAGTTCCAGCCTCTCCCAGTATTTCACAAAACTCTGTCTCCCTTGAAATGATCCAACAAATGGTTATTTTCGCTCTATCAGCATTAGGTGTCTCAGGTAATTTCTTAAATACTTCTTCATCTTGGTTATTAGACTCGAGTGCTTCTAATCATATGACACATGATTCTCGAATTACCATATACTAGATCTCTTCGTATTAACACTGCCGATGGAAACACTCTTCCTATTTTGGCCATGGGTAATACATCACCAGATTTACCTAATGATGTAGTCTCTCCTAGTTTATCTACTAATCTTATATCTGTTGGTCAATTTGTTGATAACAATTGCACCGTTTCTTTTTCTTCTTCTGCTTGTCTTGTGTAAGATCAGGTGTCCGGGAGGACGATCATGAAGAGGCCTAAGAAGGGACATCTTTTTCCTATTTCACCGAAGCTTGTTTCGTCTTTTCCTATAGTTTTTCATTCCGCTACTTTTAATCTTTTAGATTGGCATAAGAAATTGGGAAATTCTAATTCTAATGTAATGCATCATTTTTTGAACTCTGGTTTGCTTGGTAATAAGAATTGTGCTTCGATTTCTCCTATTTCTATTAATTGTGATTCATGTAAGCTTGCTAAAAGTAAGGTTTTACTGTTTCCTTCTTATGGTTCTCATGCTTTACGAATTTTCAACATTGTTCATAGTGATGTATGGGGTGTTGCACCCGTAATATCTCATGCTCATTATAAGTACTTTGTTACCTTTATCGATGACTACAGTCGTTTTACCTGGGTTTTTTTTTATCCATACAAAAAGTGAGGTCTTCACTGTCTTCCAAGCTTTTCTTGCTCTCATTGACAATCAAATTTCCTCCTCGATTAAGATCTTGTAGTCTGATTCGGGCGGTGAGTATATGTCTAATGCTATTCAATCCTTTTTACAGACAAACGGTATTATGTCTCAACGATCTTGTCCTTCCACCCCTCAACAAAACGGGATGGCAGAACGCAAGAATCGTCACCTCCTTGATATGGTTAGAGCTCTTCTGATTGAGTCATATGTTCCTTCTTGATTTTGGTGTGAAGTATTGTTTACTGCTATTCACCTCATAAATCGATTACCTTCTCCCACCCTTGACAATGTTTCTCCGTTTTATAAGCTCTTTGGTCGTCATCCGACATATTCTCATCTCCGTCCTTTTGGTTTTTGTTTTGTTCATTTACCTTCTAATGAAAGAGCAAAACTCACACCTCAATCTATCAAGTGCGTTTTTTGGGTTATAGTGGCACTCAAAAAGGGTTTGTCTGTTATGGTCCTACGATACACCGTATTAGGATTTCTCGTAATGTTGTTTTCTTTGAAAATTAATCTTTCATCACTTTAGAAATCATTGCCCCCCATGTGTTCTCTGTTTTACCTGACTTTCCTATAGATATTTCTCGATATGAGCCAGGTCTCGTTTACACTCGCAGGCATATTTTAACAAAGCCCCTCACTCAAGTGACTATCTCTTCAAGGCCTCCTGGTCTCCACCCACAACATCGAATCCTTCACAGATGATCTTTCGCCTTCTATCACTCTACGTCGTACTTTTCATATTTCTCGACCCCCCGATAGGTATGGTTTTCCCTCTCATAGCTCTATGTATACTACCCTTAACTCAATTTCTATCCCTTTCTCCTATAGACAGGCCATGGAACATGAGTGTTGGAAACTGATGATGAATGCAGAACTTGAGGCTCTTGAGGCTAACGAAACTTGGGATGTTGTATCACGTCCTCCCAATGTAAAACCCATTGGAAGTAAATGGGTATATTCAATCAAACTTCGATCCGATGGTTCACTTGAGCGCTATAAGGCTCGGTTGGTTACTTTGGGAAATTGTCAGGAGTATAGAATTGACTATGATGAGACATTGGCACCTGTGTCTAAGATTACCACAGTTCGCCTCATGTTATCACTTGTTGCTTCCCAGTCTTAGTCTCTACATCAAATGGACGTAAAAAAATGTATTTTTACATGGAGATCTTAAGGAAGACATTTACATAAAACTTTCATCCGGTATGCCTCTTCTCTCAGCAGATTCCGTTTATAAGCTAAAACGTTCTTTGTATGGCCTTAAGCAGGCCCCTCGAGCATGGTTTGACAAATTTTGTTGCACTCTATTGGATTTTTCCTTTACTCAGAGTCAATATGATGCATCTCTGTTTCTTCATAAAGGAACCACTGGCATTGTTTTCTTGTTAGTATATGTGGACAATATTGTTATCTCTGGATCTAATTCCTTCTTTATTTAGAGGCTTCAACAGCATCTTCACTCGGTTTTTCATATGGAAGATCTTGGCCATCTTACTTACTTTGTTGGTTTAGAGGTTCATACTACACAACACGGTATTTTCTTGAATCAACATAAATATATTCAGGATTTGATTCGATTGGGTGATTTATGTGATTCATCTTCTGTTGATACTCCGTTGGAGATTAATGTTAAATATCGAAAGGATGAAGGGGATGTTCTTCCAAACCCCACTTTATATCGAAAGTTGGTAGGTAGTCTTATCTACCTCACTATCACACGTCCAAATATTTCCTTCGCGGTTCATACTGTCAGCAAGTTTATGGACACCCCTTGCCACCTTCATTTTGTAGCTATTCGCCGTATTATTCACTATCTTATTGGGACTTCTCATCGTGGTTTGTTCTTCCCTCGAGGGATGCCTTTTGAACTCAAAGCTTACAGTGATGCTGACTGGGCTGGTTATCCTGATTCTCGTCGTTCTACTACTGGGTGGTGTATCTTTCTTGGAAGTGCTCTTATTTATTGGAAATGTAAGAAACAAAATTGTGTTTCTAAGTCCTCCACTGAAGCTGAATACCGAGCTATGTCCGCTACATGTTCTGAAGTTGTGTGGCTACGTGGTCTTGTTACTGAACTTGCTGTTTCCAAGCACAGCCTACACCTCTCTATAGTGACAAAACTAGCACTATTCAGATTGTGACAAATCCTGTGTATCATGAACGGACCAAACATATTGAAGTAGACTATCATTACATCTGAGACGCCTATGACTCCAAGATCATTTCTCGTCCTCATGTTTCCACCAATCTACAGATTGCAGATATCTTTACCAAGTCTATGACTCATCTTTGCCATAATTTTCTCATCAGCAAATTGATGCTTGTGGACTCTCCGGCATCAATTTGAGGGGGGGGGGTATTAGAGAAGCGTGATTATGATTCATGTTTCCTTGTATAGAATTAGGAAATTACGTTCTTTATTTTCTTACCTTTTATAACCTATGTAAATATTCTATAAATTGGAAGGAAATACATACACAACAGATACTCAGCCAAAATTGTGTCAAGAAGGATATGGGTAATTTCACTTTGCCACCATTACTTGTGGTTTCATCAATTGTACTGCTAAGAATAGACCCATTGAAATTAGGTACGTGGATTCTGATTCAGTTGCACATGTTTTTAGCGTTTTTGAATGTATTAAAACTAGTTAGTGACTGTTTATAAAAGCATTGTGAATTGATTATGTTACAAGGTGTGCTTTGACACTATTTGGTAATTTTTAATTCTTTATGAATTTTAGGGAACCCAATGTTTGGGTTCATGTATCTGTGTTGGGTATAGTGGAAGAGGAGGAGTATATTTGTATTGATTCCTGTCGAAACGTTCAAATTTTTATTGCAGTTGAATTTGTTTTTCTAGGTAGAGAAATTTTAAAGTTTCGATCATTGCATTGAGATTTGTGTCATTGTGAAGATCGTTGGATTTTTTTTACCCAAATTAGGTTTAATTTTTTGGAAAAATATTGTTTCATTTATTTCACGCGCTTTTATTGAGAAAATATTATTTCCTTTATTCCACATCATTTTTTTTTTAATTTTGTTTCCATCTTTATGGTTTATTACAGCTTGGAATGCAACACTATAAATACTCAACTCTTTTTTCATGTTTTGTACTATTGAAATATAGAATAATCGTGTAAGCATAGGTATGACATTTATTTTCTCCATATTAGTCAATTGAATAAAATATTATATTTCTCTTTCAATTAATTCTTTGTCTTTTATCTTATTGCTTGTTTGCAATCATATACTTTATATCTTGTCATATATATTATCTCAATCCATTTTATTTCTCAACAGGATTATTCAACATTTTTCTTTTTTAATTTCCATTTCTGAGCAACTTAGCTTCTAACATTATTGTCATTTTGGCACGCAATGTTTTCTTTGGACATTTATACGTGCAACATCCATAGTAACCATGTCAGCCATATGAGGGATGAGATGTTTCTAAACGAAAATGCAATGGTTAGTATATATAAATACTAATAGGTAGTAGCAGTGGTTAATGGTATATCAGAATAGTGAATATCATGGATAAGTTAGTGGGCTGGGTGGGGATGGGGACGGGGCCTTGAGCATGGACGGAATGACTCATTATCCTCAGCTTAAGAAGTGCGCGCCAAATGCACAATGCCTGGCGAGTTGCGGGAGTTAAGTATTATCCTGTTGCATCAAGTGTTTAATGAAAGATGCAAGGGCATCTGGTGGGTCGGTCCAGGTATTTCAATACCCGAAGCATATACCAGAACAACCTTATACGCTTCGGGTATTTTGAAGATGAAACCATTCGGGTCTTTGTAAATACTGGAACCAAACCCGAACCCGAACCATCAGTTCCAATTCGATTTCGGTTCTACCCATAACATTTTTATATACATTTATTTAATAAATATTTCACATAGACACTTTTGGTACATATATCTAATATGCTGCTACTCGAAAATATATATGCAATGGAGAAAATCTAGTTAAAAAATCTTCAAAAACAGAATATTGTATACTAAAAGTCATGAAAATAGGAGAAAATAAAAAAAAATCAAAAATGAAATTATAATTTGAGAAAAAATTACTTTTCTTAATAAATCTTATTCGATCTTTAAGAGATACATACTAGGCATATAATTTAATTATGGACAATGCTTGAATTCTTTTACTTCTAAAACAAATTGATATAAAAAAAATACTAATTAAATACATAGCTAATATAGTATCAAAAAATTACGGTCCATATATTGAACTCGCTTTGTTTGAATAAAAAATAAATATTTAAAAAGAGAACCACGAACTCAAGATAACAAAAAAGTAAAACACAGCGCAAGCAATGAATATAACAAATTAAATTGTCATGCGTTATGAAAAAATTAAAAAAATAACATAATACAAGAAAGTAAAAAGCTTGAATTACAAAAGAATGAACGCTTTGATTCATCTACTTATATTACAATCTGTTTGAAATTTTTGATTTATAAAAAGCTCAAATTGTAAATATTAATATATAATAACCTCTAAGATGCAACAATCTGATGTAAGGTGAGATGTAAGAAAGTAAGAACCAATCTTAATTTTTAGGGTTAGAGTTATAGGTTTTAGACTAATTACTACCAAAATTAGGATTTTTAGGTTTTATATGTTTTTTTCCAGCCAATAAATTATAAATAATTTTTTTTATGAAAATCAATTCCATTCGAGTACCCACGATTTTGGTTCAGGAACCAAGAACCGAACCGAATCTACTCGGTTCTCACTTCTCAGTTCTGGTACCTAATCTATTTTTTTGGGAACGGACCAGAACCTTCGATTTTGGTTTGGGAGATTTGGTTCTGGTTAAAATGCCCAAGCCTAGATGCAATACCCTGCTTTATAAATTGCGGCATAACTAATATCAGTTGCATGAGCAACTACGTTGTGAAAAAAAATCCTCCTCACATTAACTGCTGAAATACCTGCTAATAATCACCCTTGAAATTACATCGGTTTCGTGCAAGAAATATTTCTTAGCAACATGGAATGAGTAATGACAATATTTGTCTTGAAAATCACTAGGAAGCTTGGGATATTTATAAAAGACCTTATAATGCTTTCGTCTCATATACATAATAATATGTTTTAAATTGTTGTAACATTTTCAAGTTCAAATTGTATAAATATGTCTAGTTCAACTGGCAATTAAATAATAGTAGTAATTCAAGAATGTTGTTAACCTCCATCCCATTACTGTCTGTATTTTTTGTTTAACTGTTGCTAATAATTACAAAATCTTACATGACCTATTGAGCAGTAAAATTCTACATATTCCCGAAAATTCAAAAATGAAATCAAGTGAGATACTAATGTACTATCCTTCATTGTTAAGTTGGTCGTCCTCCTATCAATCTTGAGAGCTTTCATTGCCTGAGGCCCTAAGCATGTTTTTGTAAGTGGAGAACCGCAAAATCCAAAATTTCCCACGTATGCTGAAGTTTTGAAATTTTGTAAATGGTCACTGCTCCATGGAATTCTATGTGACAAGTTGTTAGACGACAAATCTAACGCTCCAGGCCCATCTAATCGAGAAAGATCGACAGGAATCTCGCCAATAAGGTGGTTGCTTGATAAATCGAGAAATTTAAAGACTTAATAGTTCAATGTTTGAAGGAATGATTTCAACCCAACTAGAATTACTAGACTTGTAATTTCAGTGGGAATTTTACATTCTAAGTTATTGCTAGAAAGATTAATTCTCTCTCAAGACTAAGAGTTCTCCTGTACTCTGCTTCTTTTCCATTCCATAATATATTTGCGCTCATAGGGAAAAGATATTATTGTAACTTGGATCATAGCAGTGAGATTGTCTAGGCATTTTGGTATAGGACCAGAAATATGGTTCAAAGAAAAGTCGAGATCTTGTGTATGTGCTAATGTGCTATACACACAAGCTTGGAGAAATAGTTCCAAAGAACTCGTTGGATCATATTCTTAAGAAGACTAATCTAGCAAACTAACTTCCAGCCATGTTGGTAATTACAAGACTACATATTTTTTGTAAGATCAATGAAATGTAAAGATGTTCAATCCATCTGATGCTACCAAAAATCGTAACTGTTGATTTTTCGAGTTTGATGATTTTGATTAAGTATGATCGTAGTCTTTCGATACCTGAAACAAAGGCAACAAGGTATGTTCTCGCCGTCCCTCTAATGCTTAAGTCAGAAAGGGAGTTATGTGCGTGAGGCTATAAACTGAGAATAATGAGAACGTACCTGATTAATGGCCCAAGGTTCTATATTTATAGAGATAGGTAGTGTACTCCTAATACGATTGTGCCAGCTGGACGTATTTATCCAATGGAGTCCGGTTGGTAAGGAATGTCCTACTCATAATGGAAATGTTTGACTAGTGGTATAAGAGTTGATATAGAGTTCATGGGTGTTTAGGTGTCCATACGTCTCGAAGACCTGTTAATGAATGATGACCCCGAGGACATATCCTCGAGGACCATAGAGGGTGAGTTCATATTCGTATGAGCAAGTCCTCGAGAAGCTTCCTCGAGGACCAAAGTACCTTGAGGACATTTGGCAAAATCCTCAAGGAAAACGTCCTCGGGTATACAATGTTGGTACCATCACTGGCCCCCGTGCACTCTTCCTAGAGACCGAGCTCTGGGATGGGGTGCGCCTGAGTTACGAACACCTCACTTCAAGTAACATCATCGAGAAATATTGGCTGACGATGAAGGTCGGCATTGTTATGACCGTTGCAGATATTGGGCTTGGATGTGTGACACGTGTCCTCGTCGACGGCCATAGATGGCGACCTTTGGCCTCCCTTCATTTTCACCTATAAATACTGCTGTTCTTACCTTCTTTTTTTACTTTTACCCACTGTAAATCTAAATTCTGCGAGGTTGTGCTCGATCAAAATACCTTGGAACTTCTCAAGTCGTCGGGTAACTCTAGGTAAGGCTCGAGACTCTAAGTTATTCCAAAAGCTAGGTCTTAAGTTCATTGAGTAATGTCGAGTAGTGAGGGTTGTGACTTATCCAGTAGTTTGAGTAGTAGCGAGGATGTAGGAACGTCGATAATACCGACGGCTATTTCCCTAGAGGCTACGCCTGAGGCTCAGGTTAATATGATTTTCGAGTATCCCGATGAACCCTTTAGGCTGAAAGAACACTCAGCTATTGCCGCGGCTAGGGAATATGGTATTATGCCTATTTGTGAAGTTAGATTCCCCGGCCCTAAGGATAGGATTATTCGAGCTCAACGAGGAGAGTTTGTCATATTTAGGGAGACCTTAAGGCTGGCTATAGGTGGCCCCTTCACCCCTTTTTTATTGCTTTATTAGTCGAGCACTCCATGTGCCC